TCGATACACCAATTGCATTCGATATTTCTTCTTTAAAGAGTGCATCGATGCACATTGAATGTGCATCGATACACCTTGCCCAGAATTTGCATTTTAAGCCCGAAAATCCATTTAATTCAACTCAAATGCTTAATATTTCATCCCCTTTCATATTCTTAACTTACATTTACATATTTGCGCTCATTTCTACTCAATAATCACTTCTTTAACCTCCATATCCTATTCTCCTTAAGAAATTCAAGAATCATACCCAAATTTTAACATGTTACAAATCCAATTCTAACACTTCATACATGTTAATTAGATTGATGGCAAGTCAAATTCACTCTAAAACCTTATTAAAGAACCCTCTTTCAAGATTTCACTTATTCCTCTCTTTTCTTTATCTCCATCTATTCTCTCCATCTTATTGTTTCAAGATAATTTAAGCTCTTCTTATGCTTAATTATCACCTAATAATCAAAACTCAACCTTAAATTTCAGCTAATAATCAACAACAAGAAATCTTACCTTTGCTTGAGCTCTCACGTGGAGGAGGAAGAAGAAGGGAGAAGAGTTTTCCAGATAACTCTCCCCACAAGCTTATCTCTTAATAAAGAGATAAGATAATTATCTTTAGATAACAAAGACCATTTTGCCCTTAATCTCCTTTAATAATTACTAATAACTTTCAGGAAATATCTCCACATAAATCATTGAACTATTCAACTTTTCAACTTTTATCCCCAAATTCTAAAATTTTACAATTTAGTCACTAACCCGGTATTGAGGATGTTACAATTTACTTCAATTCAAGTTTCAATTAACACAACTAAAAATACCATCATTTAATTCAAATATATAACACCTTAATAATTAGAAAATTTTCACAAAAATCCCCATATTTTCCTTAATTTACGATTTGGTTCCTAACTTTACCAAAATTTCCAAATTAGTCCAATTTCACATTCTAACATCAAATTCAACATTCTAAGTTATTAGTTCCATCATAGTGCATTATCTATTGAATAATTTCACTTTTGTCCCTAACTTTTTTTATAAATTACAAATAAGTCCTTATAATTTCCCAAGTTTCCAATTTGATCCAAATCATCATCCAATTATCAATTTTAACATTCAATTTCAACATAATACATCAATTATTAGACAATTTGCACACTAATCTCCGTATTTCTCAAGTTATACAATTAAATCCCTATACTTTCACAATTTCCAAATTGGTTCAAATCATAATCTAAGCATGTATAATCACTCATACATCATTTCTAGTCCTTATAACATCTTTCCAAAAGTTTTTTTGTCTTCTTCCTTTAGGTCAAATTAATTAAAATATATCAAGCTTAATTTTCAACTTAATTCAAGCATAATTTCATCGTCAACACATAATTTTTATCCATTCACAATCATTTCCATAACAAAAACAATCAAATAATTCAAGCATGGAAACAATGAAATGTTATCACCAAATGATAGAGAATTTAATATGGATTATTTTTCTATTTTATAGCTTAATCTAAAAATCAAAGGAAAAATGTCTAAAATGAAGAAAAAGAAAGAAAACATACCTAGTCTTCTTTTTCATTCATAGTTCACGGCATATATAGGAAGGAGAAGCCAAATTGGACAAATCTCCCAAAATATCTATGTACACTTGTAAAAATTCTATTAAAAATGAATTTAAAAATCATTTTAGTCCAAAAGTCATATTTACTCTTAATGAATCGTAATAATTACCACCATGTCATCCTTTTATCTCCATTTTTATAACATTAAATCAATAAAAAAATCTCATTTATCAATTTCCATATTTTCCCTTCTATTTTTCTAAAAATTTAATTTAGTCACTAAATTTCATTATTTCACTTTAACATGGAAATTCCTCCAAGTTTCACTAATTCACACCAAATTCCACTAATTAAAAATATCAATATGATATTTTTAGCCCCAAACTACCTTCCTTCAAATTTTTGTAGACTTCTGATTTGATCCTGTTATCCGAATATTTTATCTATCTTTGTCACTTAATAAACTTGTATACAAACTTCAAATCAAGATTCTAAAACCCACTAAAATTATGTTCTTAGGCTTAACTACTCGATTACAAACCCAAAATATAACTTTTTAAAAATTTATATTTTTAATCCATAAACTTTTACAAAATTACACTTTTGTCCCCAGACTTTCAAAATTTATCATTCAGTCACCAATCCTAAATTTGGGATATTACATATCACATCTACATGATTTATTATGAATAACGTAATGTATTCATTTTTCACTTTAAAATGTTGCCTTGTTTAATTTAAAAAGTTAAATATTTCGTAAGAAAATTGGTTACAACCTAAAATGTTACATTTGTTTTTCAATTGAAAAAACTTATCACTAATGGTAACTTTTTATATTTTAACTTGAAACGATATCTTATCTACATAATTTATTAAGGTGAATGTAATATTTTCAGTTTCAACTTAAATTATTGTTCGATTTGAACCTAAAAATATATATATGTATTTGGTGAGAAAAAATATTACAATCTAAAAATGTTACACAAGTTTCTTAAATTGAAAAGAACTTAACATTGATAGTAACTTTTTACATTTTAACCTGAAAAATTATTCGATCTACATAATTTATTACGAATAACATAATATTTATAGCAATTTTATTTTAATATTTTTACATAATTTACTTTTTATATTTTAAATTTCAGTATTTTTAAATGATCTTTTTTAAATATTAAATAAGCCCTTAAACTTTATAAAAAACCTAATTAATCCTTCAAACTTTATAAAAAAACTTAATTATGTCATCAAACCGTCTAAAAGAATCAATTAAGTTCATTTTTCATATCATTAAATCAACATCGTTTATTGAAATGTTAGTATCTTGGTCAGTTTTATCAGCATCATGGATCATCATGTTAGCACTGTGAATTGTTACGTCAACACTATGAACTGTCACATCAACATCGTAATGGTTAACGACGATTTCTATTAATCAAAGCATCAAATTGAGTTCTTTTTTCTTAATTTAACGGTCACATCGAATACATAAATAAGTTTAAGAGTCATATTGAATACACAAATAAATTTAGGAGTCACATTGATTTTTTAATCAAATAATATTACATTCCGATAATTTTATACTTAGAAATAATCTCATATATCTTGAACGAAATGACCCATAAGAGTAAAGTTGTACACATCAAGGTTTTTATCCGGTTCAAAATATAAAAATCGGTTTTAAAGATTTTTATATATTTTTTAGATGTTCGATTTCTGACCAATTCCAAATGGTTTTTTTTTTCATAATTTTTTGATTTTATTTCTGATTCGTTTTTGACTGAACCGTTCCAATAACACATTACAAATTGGGCTTTAACAGTAACAGTGAAACTTAAATTTGATTTTCCCCAACAGAAAAGGAAAATGCAATTTAATTTCCAAGCAACAAGTAGGGTTAGGGGTGTGAAAAAAAATATCCGACCCATTAATCTTATCTAAAATTCGAATACATCGATATAATTTTTTATTTTTGAACAATTAAAAATAGATATCTGAAAAAAGTTAAATAATCAAATTATAAATCACTTAAATTTTAATTTTGAATTATCCAAAAAACCTAATAAATTGGTTAGCTCAGTAATGACTAGCCTTTGTTGGTGTTTTTCTACTGTAAAAGCAATGAGTTTGGTATTGGATACTGCTGCGGTGCTGCCATGCTGCTGCGTCCGCCTCAGATGAATTGTTGCACCCAAAACAATTTTAAGCTAAAGCAACAAGCAACAAGCTAATGTTTGCTTACACCATAAATCTTTGCCTTAGTGTCTCTTTTGAACCTTCCTCTTCACCTTTTTTAATTCTGCTCAACACCAATGGATGCTGTTGCTTTGGAGATTAATATATATATATATATATATATATATATATATATAATAGAAGCATAAATAATATTGAATAAAATCATAAAAATTTAAAATTCAAATCTAATTTTATGTCAGATTAAATATAATATTTAAATTTAGATATCTAATTTTTCGGATCAAATTTAGATCATAATTTTAATGATTAAACTTTTTAAAATTTTGAATCCAATACTATCTGATATAAAAAATGCAAATCCCTAATTAGGGTTGTGGGGTCATTATCCATCCTTAGAGAATAGAGATGCTGTGGAGTGCTTCGCACTACTATTTATGGCGTGTTTGGTTCGGAGTATGTGAGATTACTGGGGGAATAGAATCTTCATTCCCCCGTTTGGTTGGCCAGTAATTCTATTCCCGATAATCTTTTATTTCCAACAGTAGATTTTTTTGTGTATATTACCGGGAATGTGATTACCCCTTCCCTTAAGTATTGTTAGATTACCGACGTTTTGGACTAAAATGTCCTTAATTTTTTTTTCCAAAAATATCATTATTCTATCGTTGAATAATAAAAATTCTACGAATGTTAAATTACAAATTTATCCTTAAATTATTTTAGATTTACAAAAAAAATCTATAATTAAAATTTTATATAAAGTTAAGAGGTTAAAATAAAATTTTACTATTTCATTAAAACTGTTTATTTTTTTAATTTTGTAAAAAAATTATATACATTTTATGAATTTAATTTTTTTAAAAAATATATATAAATTAATTATAATAATATTATATTAGAATTCAACTTGTTAAAAATATATATAATAAATATAATTTTGTAAAATATAAATTTCAATAATCTTTTATTCTTTTAACCAAACACCGTAATTTTACATTCTTATTAAATCAATCAAACACAAAATATAATATTCTCAATAATTATATTTTCTAATAATCTTTTATTTACACTTATAATATTACATTTCATAAATCAAATCGACCTTTAATATCTGTTTTATAGTGTTTAGACTTGATAAATCATATTCAATGCCATTTGCCCAACACGATTGCTAGCTAGTATAGGAAGCAAAGTGCTAATAAATAAATAAAATACTCTACAAAAAAGTCGTCGCCTCCTTGTACTGGTTTAGCATTATAGTTTTTTATACCCCTTTTTTTCTCGTTTCCTCTTGCATCTGCTGCAGTTGCAATGGAGAGATCATGGCTTGCCCTGGTCCTCGTGATCCTCTGCGGTGTAGCCCAGGTGAGATCCGGTGCTTCTGATCATCGTTACAAAGCTGGAGATGAAGTCCCTCTCTATGCTAACAAAGTGGGGCCCTTCCACAATCCCAGGTATGGTTTTCCTTATGAACTTGGAAAATTTTACTACCAATTTCTGATTCATTTTTTGGTTAACTTTGTTTGTTTTTCTTTGATTAACAGTGAGACATACCGTTACTTCGATTTCCCCTTCTGTTCATCGGGTTAGTGAGTGTCTGTCTGTGTCTCTATTTGAGTAATTTTAATCTTTAGAAGTTGATAAATTTGTTGAGATTTTTTGTTATAATTGAAGAAATTGAGGGCTTTGCACTGCAGCTCCCGTGAAGGAGAAGAGGGAAGCTTTGGGTGAAATCTTGAATGGCGATAGGCTAGTGAGTGCTCCTTACAAACTCGAGTTTTTGGGTGACAAAGAGGCCCAGGTTGCTTGCAAACGGAAGCTCACAAAGGAAGAAGTCGCCAAGTTCAGAACCGCCGTCTCAAAAGACTACTACTTCCAAATGTATTACGACGACCTTCCCATTTGGGGATTTTTAGGGAAAGTTGATAAGGAAGGCAAGGCTGATCCCAGCGAGTATAAGTATTATCTCTTTAAGCATCTCATTTTCGAGATCCTTTACAATAAGGATCGTGTCATTGAGATTACTGTTCGATCTGATCCCAATGCCCTTGTGGACCTCACCGAAGACGAACCTGTGGATGTTGATTTCATGTACACTGTTAAATGGAAGGAAACTGAGACTCCGTTCGAGAAGCGTATGGATAAATACTCGCAATCTTCTTCCTTGCCCCACCACTTGGAAATTCACTGGTTCTCAATCATCAATTCATGTGTCACCGTTCTGTTGTTGACTGGTTTCCTTGCTACCATTTTAATGCGAGTCCTGAAGAATGATTTCATTAAGTAAGAAATGTTTCCTTCGGCATCCATGTCTTGAAAATCCACATTCAATTCAAGTTACTTGGGTGTACTTTTCACTTCCTAAATTACTTATTTAACAGGTATGCACATGATGAAGAATCGGCAGATGACCAGGAGGAGACTGGGTGGAAGTACATTCATGGTGATGTGTTCAGGTACCCAAAGCACAAGTCTTTGTTTTCGGCGGCTCTTGGTTCTGGCACTCAACTCTTTACTCTGTAAGTATCATCCAACCTAGTCAATAATTATTCTCTAAACAAAAGGCAGAAAAGGGAGAGACAAAGGTTTAACTAAATTTGGCCTTCTATTAGATGTTACTTTTTCTCTGTTGTTTCTGAGCAATCTGTTGACTGTAATTGTTTGCATGCTTTCCAGTACAATTTTCATATTTATCCTTGCACTAGTGGGGGTCTTTTATCCATATAACCGAGGAGCCTTGTTTACTGCCCTGGTTGTCATTTATGCCCTTACATCTGGAATTGCTGGCTACACTGCTGCTTCTTTCTATAGTCAGTTCGAAGGGACAAATTGGGTATGCAATACTGGTCCCCTTTACTAATATTGCATTTGTACAAATTATTATTATTTTGGATATGAGAGAAAGATTATATCGTACATTTGGAGGACTCCTTATATGTTTTATAATAATTGTCTTATTAGCTAAAAATAAATTGGCTCCGCTGTTCAAGCCAAGTGAAATTTTCTGCTCAATGTGTAGGGGTGTGTATTTGCTTTTTTATAATTCAGAATAGACCTAAGCCATTAGGGCGAAACAAAGAAGATTGATTGAGGGAGGAAGAAAAGGTATGGGATAAACCCAGAAATACTTTTCAAGAAAAACAAAAACAAAAAAAGAATTGGTAAATATTTTTGTTAACTTGAATGAATTTTAGTTCCTTTATTACTATCATAGTTGAATTTTTTCAAAATTTGAATTGCTAAATTATATTTGAGTCATATAGATCTCTTTCTTGAAGCTAATTTTACGGTTACTATTGTTCTAATCTAAGCATCATGCAACAGAAATTGAGCCATTCCCTATCTTAATCCTGTCCCCTCTTTCCTACTGAATCTCAATGATAGAAAGTAGGAAGTTGGAACTAAAAAAATACTAGCCTACTAGTTTTAGAATGGGTAAAAAATAAAATGTCTTGCTAGTATGTGAATATCCTTTTGATCAAATGTATTGACTATTTTTCTACTCTTTTCCATGAAAGGTGAGAAACTTATTACTGACGGGAAGCTTGTTCTGTGGGCCTCTTTTTGTGACATTTTGCTTTCTCAACACTGTCGCAATTGCTTATCAAGCCACTGCAGCATTGCCGTTTGGAACCATTATGGTGATTTTTCTGATATGGGCTCTGGTCACATCTCCTTTATTAGTATTTGGAGGTATTGCCGGAAAGAATAGTAAGGCGGAGTTTCAAGCACCTTGCCGCACCACAAAGTATCCTAGAGAGATCCCTCCATTGCCTTGGTATAGGCAAACTCTTCCTCAGATGGCAATGGCAGGGTTCTTGCCGTTCAGTGCTATCTATATTGAACTTTACTACATATTTGCCAGTGTGTGGGGACATAGGATCTATACCATATACAGCATCCTGTTTATTGTTTTTATCATTCTCTTGATTGTCACTGCTTTTATCACCGTGGCTTTGACATATTTTCAACTTGCTTCTGAAGACCATGAGTGGTGGTGGAGGTATGCTGCTTTTAGCTTTCAAATTTGCATTTATAAACTTCTATCAAAAAAAAAATTGCATTTATAAAGAAACACATGCATTTGCAAGTGGGCACAAACAACATAAATGAACTATAGATGCATTTGCAAGTGGGCACAAACAACATAAATGAACTATAGATGCATTTGCAAGTGGGCACAAACAACATAAATGAACTATAGATGCATTTGCAAGTGGGCACATACATTTATAGGCAGATACCCCAGTAGTGCCCCCTATCCCTGGGGAATTAAGAACAAATCGTGGAGTGAAGAAATGTAAGACAAAGAAAAAAGTTCGGAATTAAGAGGCAAGGAGACATTGATTGAAGGGAAGGGAAGGTGGTTTTGTCTCAGTGAAGATAACTTATCGAGTTGACTTTGTTGGTGATTGTGAATCATGTTGGTATTTTGTGGAGTTCCCTTCAGAGGCGGATGTTTTGGGTTTAATGGTTGCAGGTGTTGTTTTTATGTATGTTATGTCAGTTACTATTGGGTTGTTTTCCTTTTGATGGAGGTTTATCATAGGTATATAGTGTTAGCCTCTTGATCTTTGTGGTTGAGAAGGCGAGCGTTTTAGGTGATTATGTGTTTTGTAATGGTGTTTATCCCCGTTTGAGGGTAGTTTGTGTTTTCATATGTAATGGGTGTTTATTCAATAAAATATGAGGTACTCTTTTCTTCCTTCCAATTTTCGTTAACATACTTCTTAGTATGTGGATGAATACGAAGGGAGTTTTTAATAAGACCTCAAACTTCTATAAAAAAAAAATAGATGCATGGTTGCATGATTTTTTTTGTTCTCTCATATTATCGTTTTAAGCTCAAGTAATTTTTTTGTCTGTTGGTGCATGTTTGGTGTGTTTTTCTTGTCAATAGCTGCTTCTTCAGACTGAGTGAAGCTGCAAGCCATATAATATAGCCTAGATTTCCTTTCATCGATGAATTAATTTTACTAGGAGGCTGCAAATACTATATGTAAAGTGACATCACAGACATCAAGTTGCTACCATCTTTTGTTAGTCTTGAGTCATTGTAGAATTATTAATATGATTTTCTTATATTATTGACTGACATTCAGAAAGCATCTAGCAGTCTCTTTTTGATAAGGTGGTGTTTAACTGATATTCTGTGTTCTGTTAGGTCCTTCCTTTGTGGTGGGTCTACTGGTTTGTTCATATATGCCTACTGTTTGTATTATTACAATGCACGATCAGACATGTCGGGCTTTATGCAAACCTCATTCTTCTTTGGGTACATGGCTTGCATTTGCTATGGCTTCTTCCTCATGCTTGGGGTCATCGGCTTCCGTGCATCTCTGTTCTTTGTTCGTCACATATACCGCTCTATCAAGTGTGAGTAGGTAGTTGGATAGCATTCGCTGTATACAAGAGGTAGGCATGTGATTTTTTTAATTATTATTTTTAAATGGAAGGCAATGGAAAGATTTGGTGACTGTGATTGCTGGCGTCTTTCGTATTACAGAATGAGCAGATTGGGACGTGCATTAGGCCGGCAATGGAAGTGGGAAAGCTATTATTACAGTGTTATATGAAATATGATTTATCTAAACCTTGTTTCATTAGGACCGACCAGATGATGCCAACTGAAACTTGTATTTCTCAGTTCTACATTACTTTTAGTTTATGTTATGTCTTTAAGGATGCTCTGGAAACAACTGTCTTACCATTTTATGCGCATATCTTCGTCATGTTAGCTCTATAGATATAAGTCCTGGTTTTGTGACTTATGGTGCTGGGAATCGATTCAGAATGAACACAGAATTAGCACACTTCTTTATGTTTGTCAGTTGAATGAATGGAATTTGGAAATCCATTTTGTTCGCCATTCTTGAACTGCTTCGCCAACCAATAAGCTGTAGTATTGGTAGATTCCCATCTGGCTATGGCTTAGGCAGGGAGATATTTTAGCTCAATGAAAGAACTTGTTCAAAAACTCAAAATACCATTCAATACAATTATACGTAGGGAGAAAAAATCGCTACAACACTACCGAAACTTATTACAAAACAATGTTGAAATAAAGTTGAACTAAGGTATTATTTGATATAATGAAAAAGCTAACACTACCAAATATGCTTTAAAAAATAAAGTTGATGCAATAAACATTTTTATAATGATAAACTCAGAAGTTATCCTGGGCAGGGATTTAAATAGCGGTCTGCGGCCGCGGTGCCCTCCGCGACTGTTAATATATGACTACGACACTTGCAATCACAACAATAGTGCCCGCTATGCCTGCATCACGGTAAACGCGACTCGACCGAAAACGTGACCGCAATTTGAATCATTGACCCAAGTTTAAAAATTTTATCAAATAAAATGGATTTTTCTAAGATTAAACGCAAATTAGACCATAAAAACTGGAATATAAGTAATGGAATATACAACAATGAGCATAAAACTCCCCCAATTAAAAGCACTAAAATATCATGTAGATCACTCAAACATGCTTGGAAACAAATAACACGTTTATAACATGGAAGTATAGATATGCATGAAATTTTAAACACTTGATCAAGATAGGTTAGGAAGGGTTTCTTTTGAGGAATTCTATTTTTAAAGGTGTTGAGATTTCTTTATAATATTTAAGAATTTTGGTAGAATCATTACTCTGATATGCATTTTTAAATACAATTGATGTTTAGCACATATTGCTGGGGTGAAAATTGCATACAGTGTGGCACCAAATGTAAATAAGTATATTTGCCTGCTTGAAAGATCTGTACAAATATTTGCCTGGTTTGAATTTTAGCAGCGCCAAAGGATTTTCCCTCCAACAAACGAACCCTTCGTTTTCATTTCTCTGCTAAAACCAGAAAAACCAAAACTTTCATCAGTTTTCCTGCTGATTTAGCCATAAACTTGGCTTTGTCATTCCTTTAATAAACCTTGATCTTCGAGCCACTTGCTGAATTTGGTTTTCGTTCCTTTGCAAGAGTTCATCAAATTTAGATGATTCTGTTACTAATGGTCCTGAATAGCCAACTTTTACATGTTCAGGAATAGAATATGTTCATGAGCCGGAAAAAAACTGAAATATTGACGAGAATTACAGATGCTGCATCAGTTCCTACCATGTCATTATTTATAGCTATCACATCTTCCTGGTGAAATTCAGCCGAAAAATCGTGAGCTTGAAATACACTTGAATAAAAATGATCTGACCTATCAAACTTGTTATGCCTATTCGATCTGTTTTGCAGCTGCTCCTGCTGCTCGGAAGCAGTATAAACATTTCCAGGAACATCTTGAGACTCTTGTTTCTTAAGTTCAAAGATTTTAGCATTTGAAACGCTGAAGCTTGATGCACCTGCATCACTAGGTTGACATAGTGAAGAAGGGCGATTGTAGCAAAGTGTAGACGTTGAATCTTTTTGCTTCTTTGCCCAGGAGAAGCTGCTTGATCCTGTCAATGGTGGTGGAGCTGTGAAAATATCACATTGAGATACACTAGTTCTTGCGAGGCCTCTGACCTCGTATCGAATTGGAGATTCATCAGACCTCTATGAGCTGTACCGTCACGTCCCCTCAGACTGCTTGCAGTAAAACCATAGCTCTTAGTAGCGAATTGAGTATCGTCTCGTACTTCCTGCATATAAAACGAAAGTAGCTAATCTTAGTTCGTCTTACTAGCACCAGATGCGCACACATGCCTACATAGAGAGGAAAAGAGAGGGAGATACCTCTTTCAACGCAGTTTTACCGAAATTGATTGCTTCTACTGAAGTATTACAAGATCTTCTTGTTCTTCTTGAAACCCCGGAATCTCGGATCCTAGATCTGGACTTCTTCCTGATATATTGTAATGAACAAAGATACAAAATTAAAGAGAATTGAGCTATTGAAACATCCAAGCATCTAGATTTTCATAAGTGTTTGATGCACGGAATTATAGAATATAGCATCTAGGATTCCTTCATAATCATTTGGTGATAGGACTAATAGGCAATAACACTGGTTTCAGACTACTTCAACAGATAAATGCACAACTTTCAGAACTCATAATTACATGTGGATAGGTCGAATCTCGAGGTTTCATGGTTCAGCAATAACTGTAAGCATGCAATGAATTTTAAACTGAAACTTACGAAACAAGGAATGACAAGTTCACCTTCGTAATTCTTCCCGCTGTTTAGCATCGATTTCTTTACTAGGTAAATATTTTGGCAAGCTTGATGGATCACAGGCATGAGGTTTTGTGTAGAAATACTGAAAGAGAGGCAACAAATAAACATGGAATCAGGAAACTAAGCTCCTAGTAAAATTTCTGAACATTTATAGAACCATGTCATAATATGGATGATACTTTGTGGAATCAAAGATATTGGTGTCGCCTGAAATGAACTGCTATTATCTTCCTGGCATTACTTCAGAAATTAGTGACGAAGAGGCAGTCCCACGCTTGTGGGGTTCTACCGAAAGAAGAGCTTCTAACAAGTTCAATGCAGTTGGTGGAATATCTTTGCACCTTTCACGAAGACAATTTCGGTAAGCATGCTGTGGTTTGAACATGGTTGAATGAGGAAGCCTAATCTTTGTCCAATAAGTGAAAGCTCAATTTGTAAATTTCACAGATATAAGATTGTTACCCTATATCTGTCATGACTGAATCTGAATATTTCAGCATAACCAAAGTATAAGTTTGCCTGCTGTCATGAGATGTCAAATAATTTCAGATAAAAGAGTAATGCAACATAACTAGCAACCACCTCAGTTCTGCCTTTAAGGATAGGCTTTCCTATTAGAAGTTCTGCAAAAACGCAGCCTACACTCCACAGATCCACCGAGGCTTCATAACTCGTCGAACCCATCAAAAGTTCAGGAGGTCGATACCATAATGTCACCACTCGACTAGTTAATCGATGCTTGTTTTTCGAAGTAAGGATGTTTGCCAATCCAAAATCCCCCAATTTTAGTGTGCCTTCGTTGTTTACCAGAATGTTAGATGCTTTAATATCTCGATGCATTATACCTCGCGAATGACAATGCTCAAGCCCCAACAATAGCTGCTTCATATAGCATTTCACCTGCACAGGAAGGCGAACCTATTTGGACCATTCTGAAGAAAAAACAACTTATATATTTTACTTTGAGTTTCAAATATAGCCAAAATGATACAAGCCAAACCTGTGGCTCACTGAAATTGATATCAGGAGAAGAAGATAATCCTGCAAGATCATGCTCCATGTACTCGAAAACAAGGTAGACTGTACTCGAAAACCGAGATGTGATTACCCCTTCCAGTTTCATGATATTCGGATGGTCAAGTCTGCGTAGAATGGTTATTTCTCGTGCCATAAATCTGATACTATCTGGCTGAGAGTTATCGAACTGCAGCTTCTTCAAAGCAACCATCCTCCCAGTTTCAACTTCACGTGCTTGAAATACGCTACTGTATGTGTCTTGTCCAATCTACATCAACAACATTAGGTGAGAGAAACGTATAAATTAAGAAGAAGAAGGAGAAAAACTCAGGTACCTTGTCCAGTTTCTCGAAAGCATCAGCCTGCAAAGGCACCCAACCATGCACTGCTTCACCAGCAGCTGAGCATAGCCAAGCAGGCCATCCGGCTGCAACCTGTTCAGCCTCTACGATCCTATGAGAAAATCCAAAATTAAAGCTGAAAGAGCCACTCCTCCTCCTGCTAGAACTCCATCTCTTTGATTTCCTCGACTCGCTGCTTCTCTTGACGTGATGATGATCCATGGTTTTACCATTTTCACTCGACTTCTCATCATCTCTAGCAACCTCTATGCTCCTTGGTTGTTGCTTTTGTGGAAAAGAAGCAGCAGCAAATGTCAAACCATGGCTACTGTTGTGGTGAACCACTGAAACATGGGAGGCTGCTACAACATTGCCAACTTGCTTGGCGTTAATGCAACCCATTTTAACTCCAAACCAGAAATCATCCGGACATTAGGCCCAAAGGGGTAGCATTTAACCAGGGAAAATAAGATAAAACACAGGAAAACAAAACAAAAAAGAAAGTTAAGAGAGAAGAAAGAACAAAAGAGAAACTAAAGTTCCGGTTTTGTTCTTTGTGTGTCTGACCGACTGTCTTGGACTTTGTTTTCGAGATCTGCGGAGGGCATTGGAGGATAACAAAGGGAGAGATTGGTGGGTCCATAATGGCACATCTTTTGGTGGTGTTGTTGGAAGAATACAGGATTTCTTGTTCTTGCAAAAGGTTAACAAGTTTCTTTGTTCATGTGTTATATCTTTTTCCAGTTATTTCATTTCACCACCTTCTAGTTATGAACAGAGATTGCATCATAACTATTAAGTATTAACTAGAGCTGTTCAGCGTTGTCTCCGGTTTAATCTGAATATTATTTGATTTGCTCCTAATTATTTTACTTTTTAAAATTTAATCAATTTTTTTTTGTAAATATAAGTCAATATACTACTTTTATTTGAAAAATATCCGTATTTCTCCTTATTTTTATTTTTATTTTTATTTATTGATTTGACAGTTAAAATATTTTTGAATCCTTATATTTATAATTTTTATAAATTATATAATATAAAATTAAATTTTAGATAGTACAGGGACCACTAATATATTAAAATCTACTAATCATTAATTTTATAACGTATATTAATAAAAAGATAGGTGGATTTATTGGTTAATTAATTTGGATAAGA